ATCGGGGGTGGGAGGGCAATAGATGGGGGGAGGGGGGTTGTTACTTTGTGAGGGTGAAAAGGGTAACTATTGCATTGTTTTGTACACCTGAAACTAACAATTAAAAAAAAAAAGTTTAAAAGCAATATGTAATGGTATAATAATTCAGAAATGAAGACTAAAAATCTATGATCCTGCTATCCAAAGATAACCACAGGTAACACGTACTTTGAGTTTTTACTATGTGTGTGATACACATTTAGGAATTTTTTTATAGAAATGTAATTGTGCTTTGCATACTATTTCATAATCTGCTTTTCTCAATAACATATTGAAAACATATTTTTATAGCAATTCAACTCCAAATTCTAACTTTTAATGGCTCCACCTTATAATTTTTAACACATCACTGTAGGGCTTTACCATGAATCTTTATTATTTTTTTTAATGTGTAACCATCTGATCACTGATCCTTTAAGGTGAATGGCTCCAAGCAGCAGACTGAGCCAGGGTCAGGGACAGAAAAGGGCTGTCAAAAAGACAAATAAATGACTGCTGAGGGTGAAGAAACCAATCTTCCCTCTCCATGGGCTCCGGGATCTAAGGTGCCATGGGTGGGCAATGGCTCAGTCTCAGCTCATAGCATGGGGTCCGTGTGTGAGCCCCACAGCTCCGTGCAGGTGGGCGTGGACGCACCTGTATGCGCTCGGCCAGGATCTGAATGAGCAGTTCCTCAGGGAGCACACAGCTCAGCAGCCCAGTCTCACCTCCGATACTGGCGCTGACACTGAGCCGGCGCTGTGTGGGCCCCGAGGGGAGAGGGCTGGAGGAAACCTGTTGAGTAGGAGAAAGATCAGGAGTTAGAATCCAGCTTGATGTCTCAGCAACTCCTACACATACAAGCCATGTGACCTTGGGAAAAGCATATCATCTCTCTGGGCCTCATTTCCTCATCTGTACAATGGGGCCTGCATTGTAAAATGGAAGATTCCTGTCTTCACTAAAGAATTGTTGAGCCGGCTGAGTGGCTCAGTTGGTTAAGAGCTTTCTCAAGAGTGCGAGCTCTGAGCAACTAGCGGTTCAATTCCCGGCCCGAGCTGAGCTGCCGCTGAGCCGCCAACAGGTGGCAGGATGGCTCAGCTAAAAAAAAAAAATTATTTTAAGTTTCAAGTGAGAACCCCGTGGAAAGTGCTTTGTGTATGTACCGAACAGCACACATTTGCTCATTCACTCAACAAATAGTCACTGAGAACCTACTGTGCACCAGCAACCCCTCTAGTACTAGGGACACGACAACCAACGATTCTGGCAATGTTGCTGTCAGTGTGGTCCTTACATTCAAACGGGGGAGACAGAAAAAGGGGCAGATGAATATACAAACCAATAACATAATTTCAGATAGTGATGAGTGCTAGGGGAAAATGACCAGATAAGGGAATAAGAAGCCATGACAGGGTTGGACAATGGCTATGCAGAGAGGGTGGTCACAGAACTTGGGTAACGTGAAAGAATGAGACACGATCCCGAGAGAAGAGTCTTTCTGACTCCTGGGGGTGACTGGTTAGCTCAGTTGGTTAGAGCGTGGTGCTGATAACACCAAGGTTGCCGGTTCGATCCCCGCATGGGCCACTGTGAGCTGCGCCCTCCTTAAAAGAGGTTGGGGGAGAGATTAGGGCTGGAAATAAAATTGGAGGGTGATAAGCATACTGAAAATACTTAAGTACTTAATACTTAACTTGAATATTTAATAAAATATTTAAGCAAATGAAGAAAATATTTAAGTAATGAACTGGGTGAGATCACCTACAAAGAAGAGGTAGATACCAAAAAGAAAATAAAGGAATAGGTGACGTAGTCCTAGCCTACTCCGAAAAACCAGGAATCTGAATGAGTGGAGACACTGGAGGAAGGGAGGGAGCCATGAATGAGGCAGAGGGCAAGTGCAAGAGGATGGTGTTCTGAAAGCCAAGTGAAGGAAGCATTTCCAGGAGGAGGCGTTATCAGCTGTCAAGAGGTCACGTGAGATAAAGATAGAAAACTGGCCACTGGATTTGGCAAGAGGAATGCCAATGACCTTGAGAAGAGTAGCCAGTGGAGTGCGGAGGCCAAAGGCCTCCTCCTGGGAATCGCATTCCCTCTTGGGTGGCTCATCACCTTATGCTTCTCCAGGAGCTCCTGTCTTCACAGACCTGCTGGTGCCTCTACCTCCTTTCAGAGAAAGAACGCCCTTGATGCTGAGTTGGCTGCTCTAATAAACCCCTTTTCCTTTTCTTTCAAACATCTTAGAAGCCTGCACTCACTTGACTCTACTTTCCCGCTGAAAACTCATCACCCGGCTGTCTCTCACAGTGCCATCCACGGTCTCTAGCTTCAGCACCTGCTGTTCTGCTGAGTTTATTCTCCAAGTCCCTCGGCACATGGCTCAGACTCTCTGACTTCGCTATGACTTTGCAGGACGCCCCTGTAACTCTCCCATGACTTATATTAATGGTTTCCCCCATAGCATTTGTTTAGTATTAGGTCGAGCCATATACAAAATGGCTGTTATGGAGTTCTCAAATGGTTGAATATTGGCAATTTCATATTGTTTAACCTAATTCTTTGTACACACCTATTTGTCTCCAATCTCATTTTACTGCAAAATTTGAAGGTGTGGTTATCTCCTTCATCAGACTCTTAGTGCAGCATAAGTGCAGGGGTTTTTGCTGTCTTTCTCTTGCCTTGGCCAGCACCCAACCCAGTACCTATAACATTAACGGCACCTGCTGAATGAACACCTGCTGGGTGAACCCCCTTTTCAGGAGCAGTGGTGCAGGAACAGTGCTGGGGCTGCCCGGCAAGCGCACCCACAGGAGTGATGCTGTGGTGGCCTGGCTGCAGGATGCTGACGAGGAAGGATCCCAGCCCTCCCCTGGAGAGCCCTGCTTTGTACCTGGGGTGTTTCAGATGAGTGCTGGTGATGCTGCTTCTGAGACCCGGAGCCGTGGCTCTCTGACTTGCCTTTGGCGAGCAGCATGCTCCCACGCACAGGCTTTGCAGGTTTCATTTCGGGGTTTACCAGAGTGGATTCTGAGGTTAACTTGCCCAGGGTCTCACTGCTCAGTCGTGTTTGTCCTAAGGCATTTTGGCTCAAAGCAACCTCCTGGGCTACACAGAGAGAGTGGGTTTAAACGTCAGCTCAGGATAATAAGGAAATGACAGTGGGGATGGCGTGCTGAAGCCCAGGGTGATTCTCTTGAGGACAAAGCCTTCTCTATGTGCAGCTGGCTGGGAGGGGCTGGCAGAAGCGGCTCCGTGCACCTGGCACTGGACGGCAATGGCTCGGTGGAGTCCTGGGCTCTTCACTGCTCATCTGCCCAGTGAATCCCATGTAAATCTGCCCTGCTTTCTCTTCCAGCCCAGGACGCAATCATTGCTGAACCAGCTGGCACACTACAATCCTGCCCTGGAAACCTAACACCTGACCTTTTGTGGTTCTAGGCAGTGGTGATGCTTGGGTAGCTTGGGTAGGACATGCTCTGCGTCCACAGCAGAACTGCCCAAATGAACAAATAAGCTAAGTAATACCAGCGAGCCTGTTGGCAGATATGGCTTCAACATTCATTTCTGCGTTTCACCTCTCTACCCTCCCTTCCAATCAGATCACCGCCCCTGAGCACTCCCAGCCACTGAGAAGTTCCCTTTCAGAATCAGTGGTTGGTGCAATTATTTAAAAGGGTTTCCATGACATCTGCTCAGGAAAACTCTTGCTAGAGCGCATTTGGCTTTAATGATAAACTCCTTCCCTTCCGAACCTCCCAACCACAATGGCAAGTCCTGTCTCATTGTGTCCTCTGGGGCTCTAACTCTACGGGGATGAACTCCCTGCCCCTGAAGGAGAACGGGGGTTTAGCAGGCGCTGTCGGTGCCCTAAGACTTGGCGATGGGGCTGTATGCTAGGCAGCTTCCATGTTTCTCTAGCTCTCAGGCAGACTTGTTAAGACTCATTACTCCTTGTTTACCACTCAGCAAATAAGCCCCAGGGCTCCCTAGAGAATTGTCACTATACTTACTCTGCTTTCTCTTTTCACGTGGTTCCCTCCTCCCCTCCCCCAGGAGCTGATTATAGGTCCAAGGACTCCATACTGCACCTGGAGGATGGGGGTGGGGGATGCATAGGCAGAGTCTGAAGCCATCAGTGCAGCAGTTGTACCAAAGTTCTACTCCAATTACAGAGCCGCATGGTCTGATGTTCATCCAGGCCCCGTCACCCCAGTCCCTCCCTTCAGGCTCTGCCCTGATAATGACTGCTCCAGCCTCCTGCCACCCCATACCTGCTCACTTCACTGCTGAGTCCCTCTCTGCCTGGGGCCATCCCCACCTCCACTGACAGCTGAGGAATCTCTCCTGTGCCCTCCTTTTCCTGTCCATCGCATCATTCCTCCATATCTTAAAGAGTCAGTTCTTTCTGATACAATACTAACGAAAGTTTTCATTTGATCTTTCATTTCTTTCAAGATACCATTTCACTTCTTCTCTTTCCTTCACTGCCCAATTTCTCGACAGTGGTCTAGACTAGCCCTGTCCAACGGACATATAATACATATTTGAAATACATATGTAACTTAAAATGTTCTAGTAGCCACTAAAAATTAATTTTAATGGTACGTTTTATTTAACCAAATATATAAAATATATAAAAATTATTAAATATATAAAATATAATACAATATAAATATAAAATAATACAAAAATATAAAAACGATTACTGTTATTTTACAGCCTTTTGTTCATGTGATATCTTCAAAATCCAGCATGTACTGTACACTGACAACCCATCTCAATTGGGACTAGCCACATTTTATGTGGATAGATGTATCGCTTCCTTTTCAGTATAGCATGCTGACTCCACAGCACACGGCAGATGTAGGTTTGGGCTTAACCCCTCCACTGAAAGAGCTTTCTCCAAAGTCACCAGTGACCTCTGAACTGTGAACTACAGTGGCCCTCTTCTGGGCTTATTCGTTCTGAACTTTCAGAAATCTCCGATTACATTCATTTATTGATCCAATACATTTTTATACATCTTTAGTCTGTGTCTGCTACGTGCCAGGCACTATTCTAGGCTCTGGGAATACATTAGTGAAGTAAAGCAACACAAATCTCTGCTGTCAGAAGCTTGCATTATAGTGAGGGCAGACCGATAATGAAATAAGTAAGTAAAATAAATAGGATGTTAACTAGTGATAAGGGCTATGAGCAAAATAAAGCTGGAAGGGTGCCTGGACTCCACCAGGGCTCTGGAGAGCCCGGAAGGCCCTTCTCACGCCCTCCCTCCTGCAGCTCTTGCTCTCCTTGACTTCCCTGCGTCCTGCTCTCCTGACTCACCACCCCTCTGACCCCGGCCCTGCCTTCTCTGCCTCCCCTGGCTTCTCCTCCACCACCTCCTCCAAAAAGGTAAGTGTTCCCCAAGGTCCCATCCTGCCCTGTCCATCCCACTCCTCTCTTTCTGGAACTTTCTGGGCTGACTTCCTCTACTCCAGAGGCTGCAGCTGTCACTTTGTTGAGGAAGACTCCCCTAGTTACATCTTTAGATTGACATTACATTCTCAGACAGGGAGCTCAAGTTCATGATTTGTCACAGGACATTGGCACAGCTCCAAAGACCTCAGTGAAAAGTTTATGTGCCAGAAAAGGAAACAAAAAAATCTATGAGAACCAGAATTATGATTCAGAGTGGGGTTGCCGCTGAAGGGTAGCAGAATATGCCACCCCAAAATATGACCATAGAAGTTTGACATGCCACCTCAAAATATGCGGCTTTGGTGTATTGATTATTTCGAGCTGTAGGCACTTAAAAAACAGAAAATTTGTGGAGAGGTTGCTCTGAACTTCCCTTATCTGCCTAAAGACAGGCATGCAAAAGGAACTCGATTGTCACCAATCCCCTTTCTGAGAGTTTCATCAACCAGAGAAGATTGATTGATCACAGGAGAGGAGGCTAGAAGTCAACACCACACCCCGGATAAACTTTGTCATGAACTGTCATACCTCCTCATCTCATTCTTCTAAGGCTCCATGCATAGTTCCTGAAAATCATTTGCTCTCTCCTAAGAGGATTATGTCCCTCCTCTCCTCTCTCTGTTAACATAGTATTTAATTCTGAATTCTGAAGCCACCTCTTTGAGTTATTCATTTTTCCCTATCTCCCATGTGTACATGAAGCACACATGTTAATAACCTTGTGTTTTTCTCTTGTTAATCTGTTTGTTTTTATTACAGGGGTTTTCAGCTGAGAACTTAGAAGGGTAGAGGGAAAATTATATTTTTCCTCCCCTACACTACTAAGGAGCTATTTCTCTTATCTTCCAAGCAAAGAATCTTCCATTTCCCTAAGTATCCCATGTAGCGGTATTGAGGGGAGGGGACATGCCTGAAAGCCCAACCCAGTTATCAACTAGCAGGCGTGGTACACTATTAGGAATGATGCTATGCTGTCATGAGTATTTATATGAAGTGATTCAGCTCTGAGCAGGCACCCTACTTCAACATCTTTTCCCACTGAGCAGCTGTTCTCCTGCCCTGTAGGTCCTTAGAGGACCCAATGGAGCCAGGATTCTTGACTTCTGGTAGGAAGGCCACACCAGGCCTCAACACTATGAGGTTCAAAAGCTCAATTTTCCTCTCCAGCAAACTTTCTCCTGCTCCCACATTCCTTATCTCGGTGAATGACGTCACTCTCTTCCTGGTCTCCGAACTAGCAATCTTGGTGTGAGCACCTTGAATGCCTCTCGCTCCTTCAGTTCCTCCCATGCAGGTGGCTACCAGGTCTGCTTTCCCAGGCCCATTCGTCTTCAGCTTCACTCTCGCTTCCTTTACAAGATACCACAAGAGCTACTTTCTGACCATTAATCCCATACGGTGAAAATGGCCCAACATCTCTTTTTCTTCAAAATAAAATCCACATTCCTAATCTTGGCATCAAGGTCAACTACAGTGGGCCCCAGCCTGCCTTCCCACCTATAATTTACTGTTAGCTTCCCTGCTTTCTTGGTCTGGAATGCCCTTGTCTTCATCTTTACCTATTAACATTCTTCTGCTCCTTCAAAGCTCATTTCCATGAAAACGTCCCCGAATCACGCTTGTTTGGAACCAAACTTGCTGTTTCACAGAAGCCAGTACTTCTGTTACATTATTTTCCTCTGCTCTGAATGAGCACATATCTGCTTCTCTCCAGGTGTCAGCCAACCCCCCCTCCCCAACCAAAGGTGTGGGCCCCGCCTTATTTATTGTCCTGCTCCCTGCAGTGGCGTGTGAGTGCTTGCACTGGGCAGCCAGGAGAGCTGCAGATGCTTCGTGAAGAGAATTCTTCTCCAGGTTAAGCAAGCAGACATGTTAGCCTTCAACAGAGCTATGGGAGGAAGCTCAGTGGGGCAAACAGAGGAGATGGGCGTTACCGTCGGGGGTGCTGGCTACTGAACCACAGAGAGTCAGGGGAAATGGCTCTTACCAGACTCCTCTCCTTCCTTCATGGACTGCTCTATGGCAGCCCTGATGCAGAGCTCACGGGCCCGGAGCCCCGGGATGCTGCCGTCAGAGATGGCTTCCAGCACGACGGAATCGATGTTTAAGCAGGCTGCACTGTAGTACTTGGCAATGCTGACTGCCGTGGCTGACTTGCCTATAAAAATGATTAGGGGGCTAAATTTCATGGCTTTCATTTGCTCAGTGTCATAGACAGAAGAAGCTTCTAGAACAGAGGCCCCTGTAAAATGATCTCTGTAAGTGGTCTGCTTCTAAGTCTCTCGTGAGGCCAAAGGTGGCCGCAGAAAAGAGAAGGAAGACCTCAGCCTTGAGTCGGGACCATGGATTCTGCTCCTAATTCTACCACTGATGTGCCGTGTGCTATGGCAACTCGCATCCTCTCTGGATTTTCTCCTCAGTTTAAAAAGTGATTCTATCAGATGATCTTTAAAAATCTTGTAGCTCTTACTATCTCTAATAGGAAGACTCTTGTGTTTTAAAGGGTAACTTGTGTTGATTTTTGGTTCTCATTTCAAAATACCTGCTTATTAAAAAGAAAGCAGAAAATTCAGAAGTAACAGGAGAAAAAGAAAAAGGTCCACAATGCCTCATCCAGAGAGAGATTACAGTTTACATGTGGTTACTAAGTATGCGTACGTAACTATTTTAGGCTGAATAATCCTAATCCCTGGGACTGGTGACTATGTTACCTGGATCTTGCTATGGAAGATTATCCTGAATTACCTGGATGGGCCCAATATAATCACAAGGTCCTTATAAGAGAGAAGCAGGAGGGTCAGAGTCAGAACAGGCGATGTGATGGTGAAAGGAAAGAGCGAGAGACTGCAAGATGCTACAATGCCGATTTTGAAGCTGCAGGAAGGGGTCGTGAGCCAAGGAATTGAGGCAACATTTCTAGAAGCTAGAAAAGGTAAGAAAATGGATTCTCCCCTATAGCCTCCAGAAGGAGTGTAGGCCTGTTGACCCATTTTAGACTTCTGACCTCCAGAACAGGAAGAAAGTGAATCTGCATTGTTTTAAGCCACTAAGTTTGTGGTTATTTGTTATAATACCAACAGGAAATTAATACAGATCACAAATCATAAGGACGGCATTTTTTCTCATTTAAAACGATATATCATGAACATCTTTCTATTTATTCAATACACTTCTATGGCACTGTTTTCTTTAAATTGTGGCAATATATATACAAAGTTTACCATTTTAACCATTTTTAAGTGTACAGTTCAGTTCCATAAGTATATTCACATTGTTGTGCAACCATCACCACCATCCATCTCCAGCACGTTTTCATCTTCCCAAATGGAAACTCTGTACCCATTAATCAGCAAGTCCCCATTCTTCCTGCCCTCCAGCCCGTAAAAAACCACCACTCCACTTTCTGTCTCTATGAATTTGACTGGTTCAGGTTCCTAATGGAATCCCATGATTATTGTGCTTTTGTGCATGGCTTATTTCTCTTAGCATAATGTCTTCAAGGTTCATTCATGTTGTAGTATATGTCAGGATTTTCTTCCTTAAGGCTGAATACTATCCCACTGTACCAAATTTTGTTTATCCATTCGTCTGGCAGGGGATAGTTGGGCTGTTTCTACCTTTTGACTATTGTAAATAATGCTGCTATGAACAAGACACTGTTTTAATGGTGACGTAATTCACTACATGAATGTGCTGTGGCTTAATGAACTAATCCCCCATATTGAATGCTCCAATTGCTCCCAGTTTTTTATAATGGTAAATAGTGCTGCAGTGAACGTTCATGCTGTTAATCTTTGTCCACATCATTAATTATTTCCCTAAGATAAATTTTTAGAATTAATATTGCCAGGTCAAAGCATTTGCACATAGTTTTCCTTTCTCTTTTTAAATAAGATAATGTCTTGTATTTTCCTCTAACTTTTGTTTTTCTTTTTCTTTTTTTTTAGCTGAGCCATCCTGCCATCTGTTGGCAGCTCAGCAGCAGCTCAGCTCGGGCTGGGAATCGAACCGGCGACCCTGTTGCTTCAGAGCTTGCACTCTTGAGCGAGCTCTTACCCAACTGAGCCACTCGGCCGGCCCTTAATGTTTATAAATTATTGAAAGAATACAAGCTCAAACAATTCAGAGATGTACAAATATTAATTAAAAATGAGTTTTCCCCACTTTTTCTCTAACCCTGCATTTCTGAGGTTGGCAATTTAACAGTTTGGGAATAATCTTTTGGTATATACATTTCATACAAAAGAGTCTTTTATTGCCTCAAAAATGACACGTGCAGACTTCATCATAAACCCCAAAAGTTGCGGCTTAACCCTGCAGAGTTGTGGCTTACCTGACAAGGGTGTCCCATGGATGATAATGGCGATGCCTTTCCGGTTCTTGGCCATGTGGCCTTCTGCAGGAATATCAATGCCCAGGTGTCGAGCGATTGCCTTGCTCACTGGGTTGTTCTCTATTTCTCCAGTTTCCTCTGTGGAATGGCTGTCAGTGCTCTGTATCTTGTCATCTGCAAATTAAAAATATACTATATGTGTACGTGTGCACATGTGCATTCATATAGGCACACCAGAATTCACATGGGTTCCAATGGAAATGGGAACGGTTTTTTCTTTCTTTTTTATTTTATTGGGGAATTGGGGGGGGGAGGGAACAGCATTGGGAAATCGGGAAAGGGGAACAGACAAATTGATGTCCTTTTGTTCTTCAGTCTAGTTGTGGAGGACGTCGCTTCACTGGCCCATATTGGTATTATCATTGCGCTCTTCTCAGTTGAGGCAGATCAGTCGCAGGCCATTGGATGGCTGCTCACGGCAGCTCACGAAAGCTCACGCCCGCTGCCAGCCAGTTCCACTACAGCCTACGCTGTCACCAGCGACTCACAGCAGCCCAGCTGCAGGTGGAGTTGTTGTTCACCACCTTAGCTGTAATGGGCACAGCGTCACTGGCCCTCATGTGGGATCCAAACCGGGGCCCTGCTGCTCAGAGCTGGCATTCCAAGCCAACTCCTAACCAACTCGCCACTCGGCTGGCCCCAGCTTTTTCTTTTTAAATGCTGTTGTATGACAAACATAATCTGCTGCAAGTGTTGCTGCAGTTGTCACTGCCCGCTATAGTGTTCGAGAGTGCCCTTTTTAGCTAATTATTTGTCTACAGCTACTAGGTCTTCAAATACGGGTTCTCTTTGACTCTTAATTCCATTTTTTGGAATCTCTGCTGTTGGAAATAATGTTGGAAACTAGCTGAATTTACAACATTAAGGGAAATGGCTAAATAAATGATGGCATATTCATATCATAGAATTAATACAGTCATGCTAGAAGGCGTGGAGGATACATTTTGCAGAGAAAGGTAAAAAGGCATTAAACAGTGTTCCAGCTTCTGCTTAGAGAGAGCTGACACCAAAATATTAAAATGCTTTGTTACCTTGAAACATTTTTTCCAGGCTTTCATCGTCCTCCTCTTCATCTAGGTTGATCTTGGAGTTGTACCACTCTCCCAGGTCGCCCAGGGCAGAGATCGCTTGGCTAAGTGAGGACATCTTCGTGCTGGTGGAGATCCCCTGATCTGACAAGGGCACATCTTCATCTTCTGCCAGAGAGCAAAAACGAAAACACACAGGGAAAAGTTGGCGGGGGGGGGGGGAACAAGGGAGAGATGGGGGCAGAAAAGGAAAGAGAGACAAAGAGGGGGATCACTGAATTGGTTACCATCAGCCTGGACTATACAACCCAAATAAACAAGAACTGCAGTGAGTTTCTCTGTCCAGGGTGTTTCTACATTTTAACATAATATATATATATATATACACATATATATATATATATATGTATATATCTATATCTCTCCAGAAAATTAAGAAATTATAAAATTCAGCTGCAAAAAGAGATACAGATAAAGAAATGGTGACAGAGGAACTGCAGCTTAATTTTATGATACCAGTACAGGAGAGCTAGCAACCTATCACATTTTTAATTTTTCACAAGTGAACCTGGCATCATATTGTACATACCAATTTGTAGCCTGCTTTCCCTCTCTTATCATGAACACTTCTCCATGTCATTGTTAATCACACTTACTCTTCTGTCTGCCCAGCACCCTCCTCACTGCCTCTATTCCACAGAGCTTCACTGGGTACATATGACTGTGGTTCTATAAATTGACCGCCCTCTATCTCAGGGCCAAGACATCTTCTTTGTTTAGAATTTGGGTTTGAGCTGAAGAGGTTGCAGGTCTCCCGGGAAGGCAAGGATGTGACTTGGGACTGCTGGCCTTCCCTGGACGTGATATGGGAAGCAGGGAAGGATGGTCTACAGCGTGAGAGAGCAGAGCGAGCAGATGCTCAGAGAAGCGCTGGTGAGGAGCAGAACGTGTGCCTTCCTGGGCTCTCTCTGGAGCTCAGGTCCTGGCTCTAGACCACCTTTCAATGGGCCAAATGAAAAAAGGAACCCACAACTGTGGTGTGTAAGGATGGGGATGACAAAATGGGGAGGAGAGCGACAGGGCCTTACTCTGTCTTCGTGAAGTCTTTTGTACATTGCAGTCTCTCATAGTTTTTTACCTCGGCCACCAGGCAGTCCTGAGTTTAAATGTCTTCCTCGCCCCCCCCCCCCCCCCCTTCCTGACTGTGACCTCTCAAAGGCAGGGGCTTGTTTCACTGATCTTTTTTCCCAGCACTTCAGCTCAGTGTTTAGAACCGTGGTGCTTGTTATGGACTTAATGGGTTCCCCTAAAATTCACATGTTGAAGTCCTAATACCACAGTACCTCAGAATGTGATTGTAGTTGAAGGTAGAACCTTTAAAGAGGTAATTAAGTTAAAATGAGGTCATATGGGTGTCCTAATCTAACCATAATCCAACATGACTGGTGTTCTTACAAGAAGAGATCAGGACACACACAGAGTGAAGACCATGTGAACACAGAGTGAAGACAGCCATCTACAAGCCAAGGAGGTTGGTCCAGAAGAAAACAACCCTGCTGACATCTTCATCTTGGACTTCTAGCTTCCAGAATTGTGAGAAAATAAAGTTCTGTTGGTTAAGCCACCCATTCTGTGGCATTTGTGATGGTAGTTCTAGCAGACTTATATGACCAGCAGATTGGGTGGAGAGGCAGCCTTCTTCTCTCATCTTCTCCTTTTAGGGCAAACTAATATTCTCTGACTAGCTTCCTTGAGAGACAACCAGACAGACCGAAGGACAGGAGAAATGGACTCTGTTCAATTCACTCATTTATTCACTCTCACAGCACATACTCATTGGGCACTACCATGTATCAGGTGCTGTTCCATGCACTGGGTTTACAAGTGGGAATACGTGATCACTGCCTTTATGGGGGCTTCTTGTCTAGGCAGGAAGACAGGTATGAAGAAAATAATTACTCATGTGATGGCTGTTACACAGAAGAAGAGAGCAAGGAAGAACAGGAAGGGCACATTTCCAGGAAGAGGGCACAGGGAAGCAGGGAGGAGAAGGGTGAATCATGACCAGACACAGAATCCTACAGGGCATCAAGGAATGCTGAGGTTCAAGTGCACACAGGCAGCCCCTGGCGGACGATGAGCTAACTCGGGGGCGCTGGGCCACAAAGCGCCACATTATGAGCACACGGTCCAGCTTCATTATTGGGGTTTGGCCTTCAGGACTATGGAGGGCTGACCGCTTCCTTGTGTGAACCCCAACCCCTACCTCTCTTAGGGCACCGATTTCTACTGGATGCGAAGTATTACCTTTCATTATCTAGGCACACACATAGAAGCCGTGGGGTACAGTGGTTCCCCTCATGAACTCCGGGGTCAGAGACCTGGGCTTGAATCTTAATTCTGCCACTTAAAACTTGGCCTCTCAGCACTTCAATTTCTCATCTGTACATGCGAAGCCATCAACACAGGGCTTGGTATATAGCAAGTGTTCTAGATCTAGATCTAGTCTAGCTGTTTTGGTCTTAACTCCCCACTAGATTCTAGTAAGAGCAGAATGTGTCTCCATCTTTGCATCCATACACTGAGGATAACAGGACCATTTTGTAAGGGTTAGAAATAAAACGCATAAGGCAGCTAGCACCTGCCTTGCACCTGGCAGATGCTCAATAAGTAGTTGATCTCCCAGCAGGGACAATTCAAAGAAACCAGAGCAGAGGCAGGAGCTTGGCCGCCAAGCTGAGCTCTCACCATTCTCCTGCACCAGAGACTCCAGGTATTTCATCTGCATCTGCTCCTCTTTTGACCGGTTTATCTCCTTAAAGTACTCGTACACCTCTTGGGGCAGCTTTTCTCCTGGGATGCGGGGTGGCACCAGCAGGGTGTTATTGGAATCATAGCTCTTCAGCGTTCGCAAGATCTGCTCAAGGAAAACAGGAACTGCTGTTGGTCTCACTGGAAGCTCCTCCCACAGCCCTCCGTGGGTCTGCCCACCCATCCTGTAAAACCCCTGCTCCTGCCTGAGGCTGGGTGTGTACAAAGAGCAGGATTCTTTGGAGGGGTATGAAGGTAAGGCTGAGCCCTGAACCTGGTGATATCGGATATCGGATCTTTATTTTGCTCCATTTGAGCCTGGGCATTTCACATGTAGAAGGGAATTTTCTTCTTGTTTTAAAAATAACATATACTGTTTTTCTTTTTCCATTGCCAAAAGTATAGAACTCCATTATCTACTTTTAGTGATACACTCTTATAAAATATTGTGATTGGCAATATAATCTAGGTAAGGTGGTTGTCTGATAAATGGAAGATCCAGGGAAAAACAAGGAAAATGGTACTAAACATGTGTATGTGTGTGAGACAGAGAGCGAGCGTGGGTGAAGAGGAAATGTGTATTACGATTGTCAAGATAAAATATGGGATGCCTAGTTAATTCTGAATTTCGGATAAACAATGAATAATTTTTAGTATAAATATGTCCAATGTTGCTTATCTGAAATTCAAATGTAGTGGTGCAAACTGTTTTTCTTTCTACTAAATCTGGCAACCTTTGTGTATTGGGTTATCGGACAAGTCATGATGTATTCTTTCTGTTTTTCATTGCAAAAATGCGTCATGACTTTCCCGACAACCCAATATGTGTGTATTTATAAAATACTGTAAAATAACATCCTAGAAAGTAATTACTTCCTATATGACCTAATTTATTGCAGCTGCAGGTGCTGGGAGGGACACCTGGCTCCACTGGTGTGAAAAATCTGTTTTGTTAGGTGACCCTTCTCCAGGATCATCATTTTTAGTTGTTTGAGAACTACTCTTAATAAGCTCATTCTAAAATATACATGGAAGAACAAAGAGCTAAGAATAGTTAAAACACTAATAAAGAAGAATAAAGAGAAGGAATTGGCCTATCAAATATCAGGACTTCTACAGCTGGAGTAATAGATAGGGTGATATTGATGTCAGGATAGATAAATGGACCAATGAATTAGGAGAGAGAGCTTAGGAGAGACCTGTTCATATATGGAGCTTTGATATAGAACAGAGATCAGTGGGGAAAGGAAGGAATGTTTCAAAGATGGGTTGATGCAGAGACAGGGAGGCCTGACTGACTCACTTCAACTAGGTAACTCTAAAGATCCAACCCAGCTCCAGAGCTCCTGTGGGATCAGCTGAAGTCTCTGTTGCACTCTCATCACAGTTCATCTTCTTTTTCTCCCAATTCTACTTTCCTTATTTTGGGTAGATGTTGTTCCTGACAGCGCTACCTAATAAACCTACATGCAAATCTCAGAGTCTTCGATTCTGCTTTCCATTGAACTTGACCCACAAGAGAGGATGCTGTGCCAACATAAGCCATTGAGCATTTCATAAATGCCTAATGAAAAGACTCCCTTCCAGGGGGACATATTTCCATTCTGAGAAAAAGTTCTGGATGCAGCATCCATATTGGGCAGAACATAAACACTGGGTATAAAGAAGATAGAAGATTCCAAACCAAGTTGGGGGAGGGTCCTGAGGAAGTAGAGCCACCTTAGCTAAGCCATTCCTGAATTCTTAACCCACAGAAAACATAAGATAACAAATGTTTATTGTTTTAAGTTGCTAAGAGATACATAACTAATAAGCAATAGATAACGAAGCATCAGACTTCATGAGGAGCAAAAACTTATGAGAAAAAAATGGAGCAACACATTTAAGATATTAAAAAGCAGAAAATGTGAGCCAAGGAGATTGTATCCAATCAAACTGATCTTCAAGCATAAAACCCACAGATAAGCAGTTATTCAGAAAATATTGTTCCCATGATCCCTACCTGAGCTTCAGACAACCCAGAAGTGATTGGAAAAGCTTCATCACAAGGACTGGTGCTGAGCATTGAATATGTTTAAATGTAGAACTAAGACTAAATGATAGAAATTAGATTCTGACATCTTAATGTTGTAAGCTATGACACTATCGATAGATATAATACAAGAAGCAAAACATGAAAGAATTGTGTATGAGATGATTACCTAAAAGGCATAACTGGAAGTAAAAGAATATCATTTTGAATTAGAGGGTGGTGAGGAGAGGGAAAAAGAGATTAATAGCTAATTTCATTATTGCTCATAGTAGGGAACTAAGAGGCAGTTTCTAAGAAGCAAGGTACTAAAGGTATTAGATAAAGGTATAGTTCACACAATTCAGCTTCAAGGTAGGAAAGCAAGGTGGAGATAGTATAAATGGACCTGGGTAGATCAGTGGAACAGAACAGAGATCCCAGAAATAGACCCAAATAAATATAGTCAACTGACAATGCAACAGAAAAGCAAATGTAATACAATGGAGCAAAGATAGATTTTTTTCAAAAATGGTGCTGGAACTGGACATCCACATGCAATAAAACAAATCTAGATGAACTTACACCCTTCATAAAAATTGACTCAAAATGGAGTGTAGTTGTAAGTGAAAGACATAAAACTATAAAACTACTAGAAGGTAACATAAAAAAATCTAGATGACTTAGGGTTGCTGATGATTTTTTAGATACAACACCAAAGGCATGGTTCATAAAAAAAAATTGATAAGTTGGACTTCATTAAAATTAAAAAGTTCTGCTCTGCAAAAGACAATGTCAAGAGAATGAGAAGACCGGGATAAAAATATTGGCAAAAGACACATTTGAACAAACAAAAAAAATAAAGAAACTCATAGACACAGACAACAGTATGGTGGGTACCAGAGGGAAAGGGGGATAGGGGGAGGATGAAGTGGGTAAAGGGGGTTAAATACAAGTATATGGTGAAGGAAGGAGACTAGACTTTGGGTGGTGAGCACACAATGCAATATACAAATGATATATTATAGAATTGTACACTTGAAACTTATATAATGTTATTAGCCATTAAATAAATTTACTCCAATACATTTAATTTAAAAAGGACACATTTAACAAAGAACTGTTACTCAAATTATGTAAAGAACTGTTAAAACTCAACAATAAGAAAACAAACAACCTGATTAAAAAGTGGGCCAAAGACCTTAACAGACACCTCACTAAAGAAGATATACAGAGGGCCGGCCGAGTGGCTCAGTTGGTTAAGAGCTCACTCAAGAGTTTGAGCTCTGAGCAACAGGGTCCCGGGTTTGATTCACGGCCTGAGCTGAGCTGCCACTGAGCTGCCAACAGGTGGCAGGATGGCTCAGCTTAAAAAAAAAGAAGATATACAGATAAGCATATAAACAGATGCTCCACATCAAATCTCATCAGGGAAATGAAAATTAAAATAACAATGAGATACCACTATGCACCTATTTGAATGGCCAAAATCCAAAACACTGACAATATCAAAAGCTAGTGAGGATGAGGAGCAACAGGAACTCTCAATTATTGCTGGTGGGAATTCAAAATGGTGCAACCACGTTTTAAGACAGGTTGGCAGTTTCTCACAAAACTAAACATACTCTTACGATACAATTCAGCACTCATGTTCCTTGGTACTTACCCAAAGAAGTCAAAAATTTATGTCTACACAAAACCCTGAACATGGATATTTATAAAAGCTTTATTCAAAACTGCCAAAACCTGGAAGCAACCAAGATATCCTTCAGTAGGTGAATGGATAAATAAACTGTGGTACATCCAGACAATGGACTTATTCAGCACTAAAAAGAAATGAGCTATCGAGCCATGAAAAGATATGAAGGAATCTTAAATGCATATTACTAAGTAAAAGAAGCCAATCTGAAAATTATTGGCTTTATGATATCATAAGCTATGACACTATAGATACAAGAAGCAAAACGTGGAAGAAGTGTACATGAGATGATTATCCAGTAGGCATAACTAGAAGTAAAAGAATATAATTTTGAATTATAGTAAAAGAATACCATTTTGAATAACTTACAGAATTACTATATGATTCCAATTCCTGGAAAAGGCCAAACTATAGAGACAGTAAAAGACCAGTAGTTACCAGGGGTTGGGAAGAGGAGGGCCTTGCTCAATAGGCTGAGCACAGAGGATATTTAGGGCAATGAAAGTACTCTGTATGATACTATTAATATAATGATTGATACATGTCATTATATGTTTGTCCAAACCCATAGAACGTATACCAAGAGTGAACTCTAATGTAAACTATGGACTTTGGGTGATTATAATGTGTCAGTGTAGGTTCATCGATTGTAACAAAGGTAACATTCTAGAAGGGATGCTGATAACGAGGGAGGCTATGAATGTGTGGGGCCCGGAGGGGTATGGGAAATCTCTGTACCTTCCCCTCAATTTTGCTGTGAATCTAAAACTCCTCTAAAAAAAACTAAAGTTAAAATGAACATGGAGTAGCAATTGGAAAACATGTAACACAGAACAAACAGAAAAAAAGGCAGATTTAAGCCCAAACATAATCACATTGACTGTAAATGGTCTAAATATATCAATTAAAGACAGACTACTAGAATGTATTAAAAAAAAAAGACCCAATTACATGGGTCTACAAGAAACTCACTTGAAATATAATGACTGCTGCATATGTTTTTCAGTTTGAATTTGAACCATTAGTGTGTATTAGTTTTTCTTGGTTGCTCAACATGTATAATGAGATCACAAAGAAGTTCAGGGCAAGTAGGTCAGGGAAGTGTACAAAGTGACCTTTAAATTGCCCAGGTAGGGCTCAAAGGGAAAAAGGGGTAAAGATCATGAGGCAGTCGTCCCTGACAGAGAACCTGGCAGGGCCCAGCACGGTAGGAAAAGGTAGTGTAGTTTTGGCCTCTGCTCACCTTCTCTTCTAGGAGATACTGCTGGTCAAACTCTAAGGAATAAAACTCAATGGGAAAGTCGCAGGGATTCTTCACCACCACCTCAGCCTCATCTCCAGTTGTGTAAGGCAGCAGTGGTCCCAGCTCCACAACGGAGGGGCTAAACTCCAGCCGTGGCTCTAAGCCTTGCCCCTGCACCAGCAGCATAAGCTTCTGAGAGCCCTGCACTATCTGGAACACCAGGGTTTGACTGTAGAATTTCTGGAAATCATGAAAACAAAACGAACATCTGATTTTTTTCTGTTACATGCCATGTAAAACCGAAAATCATGGGGGTACAAAACTGCTCCTATTTAGATTAAGAGAAAAAACTTTTCTTATACAATTGTAGGAGAGCAATTTCTGTTACAGTACAGTACTGGGTATCTAGCATGCCAGGCACTATACCAAATGCCTCGTCACTTACAGAAGGCCTTCTGAGGGCCACGCTCATATCCCTCTGACCTCCGGTGTGTTCAGATGTCCTGCTGCTACAATCTTTACCTCTGGGCCTGCATCTCTGGGCTCTCATTTCATGGACCCTTGCTACCCATGGGCGGGGTGGGGTCGGGCAGAAGTGCCGGAAGTAATACCTTCTGGGAGCAGTGCTCAAATAACGACTCTCAGAAGTTACTGTAGAAAGACCCCTGCTCCCTTGCTCCTGGGAGGGACAATTCTGAAATGTGCATTTTGTATATTTTCTCAGAGTTTCTAGTAGGATCAAGCTCCTGTCTCCACGGTAGCTGGCTCACTCGCACACCCTGTTAGCTGCCTTCCTTTACCTTATCACCGTCTACTTTTTTTCTGTGGTATTCCCTACACTTCTCAAATAATCTGTTTGCATTCAAAAATGTCTCCAAGTGTGTTTCTTGGAGAATCTCAATGAACATATTTCCATTATTTGAAGATATAGTTGAGCGGCTTGTCAGGGATAATCAGCTAAGGCATTCAGCTCATCTGATACAATTTCAACCCAAATACCAGTTGACAGTGATACCAATTATCCGAATCTAGTTTCACTGAGGAACCTATTTAAAATGCAGATTTATGGGCCCATCCCTAGAGATCCTGACTTGGTAGGGGCAGGGTAAGGCTGGGGATTCTGCCTTTTTAACCAGATGCCCACGGTCATGGCTTGGGTTTGGAGGCCATGATTGGCTGTATGATTGGAAGAGCTTCTATCTTAGCTCAAGTGGGGAAATCAGATGGATGGAATGTGTACGGACATACATACACGCACAGGAAAATATCTATTGTTGGAGGTAGTAGGAGAATGAATTATTGGTTAAGGGGTTTCTATGGAATTAGCATCTTATGATCTAAACTTCTATATTTTAATTGCTTTTTATGGAAATCTTTCTAAAGCATTTTCTTCATTTCCTTGTTATCTAACATGGAGTATTCTGAACACATATTACAGTGCCTAGGAGTTGTTAGTGAGGATCCTGTTGATTTCTCTGTGCTGCTGATGCTGTTGCAGATATAGGTGTGGATCATATGGGCTGTAGGGCTAACCCATTCCTTGTATACAGCCAATAAATTCCTCTTCCAAGTGGTGGAAACATTTTATTAACTTTGACTAATTCCAATTCAACATTTATAGAACTGTCTGAACAAATATTATTATTATTATTATTATTATTATTATTAATACATTTACTGATATTTCCTTCATTCAGTAAAACATCCAAAATCTTCAGTGAACCCCCATGATAGTCTTAATACTCTCTAAGAATGAAAAACCTATGAATTCTATTTTCTTTTAAAAGGGTTGGGGAGATGTTTATAATGATAGGAACAGGGACTTTATTTTAGAATCATATATGAAGTCATTCAGTTTTCTTCTTTCTCACTGTAGATTCTTAAGCATTTCCTCAAAGCCATTACCAGGAAAATGGAAATTAACCATAGGTATTCTAAAAACTCATATTGATTTTTTTTCTTTTGAAAACAGAGAAAAACGTCTCCCAAATGCCTTAAACTTTGAGCAAAAGTCTTTACCGTATAACCTCTTGAGATCATCTCTGGTTCTAGATTTTTTATTATTATTACTATGTTCTTTGTCAGGAGTAGTTTTGTGCTGAAGGTGTTCACAAAAGAAGTATTTGTGAGACCCAGGGAGTATGTTTACCAGGAAGTACTTATTATTATTAAAACTACTGATGGTAACAGCTAATAGTTATTGAGACACTTACTACATATAGAGCAGTATGCTGTGTATTTTATTCCATGTTAATTAATTTAATCTTCAAAATATCCCTAGGAGGTAGCTATTGCAGTTGATAATGTCTTACCTGAGACCCTGGGGGCCAGATGCTGTCAAATTCAGATTTTGAAAAAGGTAAATGCAGTTCATATACCCTATGTTACCTAATCCCCTCAGCAGGAACCAAACACATTAATATTTCTGCAGTTGCAATGTTTGACTCTGCAAACTAAGTGGGATAAATAAAGGTTAAATAGTCTCATGTCTGTTCAGATGAGGTTTTTCTGCCAAATGAGTTTGGGTCTGAACCTTATGAAATTTTTTCCAGTTTTTGGAGCTTATTGGATTTCAGGATTGCAATAAGAGATTTTTGACATGTGATATTATTTTTCATTTGATCTGTGAACAAACAGAAGTTGAGAGAGGTTAAGTAATTTGCTCAAAGCCACATAGCCCTCTGAGTGCAGAGGCAGAAGGCTACTCCCCCAGGTCTCCTGATAAAAGTCAGGAGTTCCAGACAAAAAGTTCCAGAGCTGGTGCTCTTAACCATCAGGCCACACAGTTCCTAAATGAACCATTAGAACTTGAGATATCATAATCAGAATAGCGAGGCACAGGTTACTCGAAGCTTCCCCAGAGACCCAGTCGAGCATGGTCTTTGAGTAAAGCTCAGAGATTCAGAGTCTGAATGAAACCACAGTTCATTAAAGCTTACCTCTTCTTTGGGCATGAATTTCACTTGCACATTGAACTTCTCACCAGGATGCAAAACCCCAGAAGTGGGCTGGATCTCAAAGATCTGTGTGTTTGGCTGTAATTTGGCATGTAGCTTCTGTCTTAAGTACTTTGGCATGTGTTTCTCCAGCTGGTTAATAGATATTAGACAATTAGATCATTGCCTATGGAAAATTGATTTTTCCATCCTCCACTCACTCAGCCTACATTTACTGCATACCTCCCAAGTATCAGGGAATGTATGGATACCAAGGGTACAAAGATGAATAAGACATTCACCAGAGAGCCTGGCCTGATAGGTCCTTAAGCGCTGGGCTAAGGGACTAGGCTTTATTCAAGAGGCAATGGTTGTCACTGAAAGTCTTTGAGTAGGAGAATGAAGCGATGAGAGTGAATGCCTGGAATTACAAATCTGGCTGAAATGGAGATGGAGAGAAGCGGACCGATGGGCCTAACTCATTTACCTTGTTAAATGGCTTCGGGCTGTGGGCAAGCCATTCACAAGGGACTTGGAGATGATTGGAAAGCTGAATGGTTTCCATGAGGCACTGCCCACACTGAATTGTGGCAAACTCCACTTTGTCACTTGACAGTGTCATAGTGGGAACGGTCACTGTGGCTTGGAGACAGATGTGAACTGTTGGGCCTCCAACCACCTAAAGCAGACATAAAATTGCTGTTAGCACATGGCACGGGTTTGGGGGAAGAATCATGGCTCTGAAATCATAACTGGATCATCCAATGGGTGATCGACAAGCAGAGGTGGGGGTGGGGTCACCGAGGCCCAACAGTGCATCTTACCTTGATGGGCAGAATGACCTCTTTGTTTCCAACAGAAAGACTGGTCCCTTGTGGGTCAAATCTCACTTCAAATGTTTCCGTTTCACAGTAAGGCAGATTCTTTACACGGTCTAGTTCGATACTAAAGCCTGGACCAAGACAAACAAAAATTTCTTTGTGGGAAAGAGAAATAGCAGACAAGAGCTGCTTTAGGTACAGCCCCTCTGGGCATAGGAATCAATTAATGGCTCCCAAATTCTTTCAGCTGATCCCAGAAGAAGCACGGACACTATTCCAGAAGGCCAGTCCACATGGCCCTGTTAGACATGACAGGTGCAGTGGGAAAGTGTCACAAATGACAAGGTGTAGCCTGGTTACCTGTGTCGCGAAGGACACGCTTTTCTGCGTGGAAGGACACTGGGAAGTAACTGGTGTTGGTGATCTTGATAATGTGGGTTCGGACGTCACCAAGGATCATGAAGCCAAAGTCCAGGATGTACTCTGGCAGCTGGATTCTGAAATGGTTAACAAGCTCTTCTTACCACTCACTCTCCAAAAGTGAGAGGGTGTGAGGCTCTCTTCTGTCTCCTGTGCATAATGCTATACTCTGGAATTGAGAATGACTAGTGGCCCCCAGAATGGAGACTAGGAGCAAGACACTTCCCCCAGAGGTTCACACTGCTGTTTCAGTCATTATCTTAAAACACATTCAGCGTGGGTCCTCATGAACCTGAAACCAGGCCTGTCCATTAGGCGGGGCCGGAGGTTTCTGACTTTAACAGGCAGGGCTCTACCCAGTGGGCTGGATGCTAGAGGATGACAGATACAAGAGGCAGGTGGATTGCGTTCCTCAAGGGTCAACCATTTTTTCAGAGAGCGCTCTGGTGGGCAGCACTTCTGGCTCCCTACACTCTGAAACAAACGCAGCACAAAAGGGTACTCACTTGGCCAGCCTGCGGCGACTCCAAAGGCTGACATCATCCATGGGATTTGGGATAATTGTTTTCTGATGCTCTATGGCATAGCTTTCGACTATAAGTCGCTCTACTTCCATCTGGAGTTGGGCATTTAACTGGAGCAAGAGAGAAAAGCAAGTGAGAAAATTCTAGAACATGCATTCTCAATGTGGGCAATATGACATTTAAGGGGGTGAAAACTGGTGGTTCTTAGCTATCACAATGGTCTGTGGCCCTCCAAAGGTCCACGGTACACAAACAGATATACAGTCTATTGGTGGTATTAACATTTTTATGGGGGGTGGGGTGGAGTAAGCAAATTGGTATATGTTTACCATGCATAGTCTCAGCAATAAGAAGGAACGAACTATTGATATTAATGGATCTCAAGGGCATCATGGTGAATGAAAGAAGCTAATCACAAAAGGTTACATACTGTAGGATTCTATTTACATAACATTCTTGAAATGACCCAAGTACTGAGATAAAGAACAGATCAGTGGTTGCCAGGGGCAGGGAATGGTGATATTTGGGGTGGGTATGGCTATAAAGGAGTAGTATGGAAGGGCAAATACAAATTAAAATTAAGGGCTTAATCTTCCTGCTTAAAATAAGGGAAATGATTTCTCCCCACTCCCTCTTCTTAGAACATTTACTTTAAAAAACCGGGAAGTTCTTTCTCTGTCTCTTTGAAATGTATGTAAATCTTTTCAAAGGCTATATAAGCCTCTTGTGAGCTTTACAACCCAGAGTGTCTTTCTCAAGGACATGGCAGCCATCCTTTGGATGCCATCATCAAGGATGATAGTGCCTCTATCACCCAGTTTCTGTGGGAGGGTGGGGAGCCTAACTTCAGAGGGCCCTGTCATAAAAACATGAGAAGTGTGGCTTCCTTTGGATAAAGCCAAATGGTCACCCCAATAACCATATGAATTTAGGATGAACCAAGTGTGACAAATGGTGCTGTCAAGTCCTCTAATTTGAGGACTAGTTATAATTCTTACTGAAGGATTAGTTACTGTTTACTTTGAGAACATGTATGTAATGGTTGTATTTGCTTGGCTATATAAAAGATTTATCTTTCTTTCTGTCTTTACAATCTCTTAGTGGACTGCCTATGACATGGATCACATTCTAGTTTAATAATTAATAATAAAATTATTATTCTCTTTCTCTTCTAACTCTGTGGAGAGATTTTCTGAGTTGGAAGCAGATTTTGTTTTTAATTCTATTTCCCCAACAAACACAGGGATCCTTATGGTGATGGAGCAGTTCTATAACTTAATTATGGTGGTGGTTACACAAATCTACACATATGAAAAAATTGCAAAGAAACACACACACACACACACACACACACACCAGGGTATATAAAAATGATGAAATTTGAATAAGCTCTGTAGCTTGTATCAATGTCAATTTCCTTTCCTGGTTTTGATATTGTACTATGATTATGTAAGGTATCACCGATGGGAGAAACATTATTTTTCAACTTCCTGTGACATAATTATTTCAAAATAAAAATTAAAAAAATTTAATATCTAAGGGCCAGCCGAGTGGCTCAGTTGGTTAAGAGCTCACTCAAGAGTTTGAGCTCTGAGCAACAGCGGTTCGAGTTCTGGCCTGAGCTGAGCAGCCGCTGAGCTACCAACAGGTGGCAGGATGGCTCAGCTAAAAAAAATAAAAAAATTTAATATCTAACTCTTCAGAGAGATTACATTTTACATTTAATAAATGTATTTCATGGGGGACTAGGGGAAAGATGACTTGGGGGCCGTGACAGTGAAAAAAGGTTGAGAAACACTGTTCTAGAAGGTCCAAACAGGAAGTCCAGGCCAAGTAGGAAAGGTTAACATGTGAAGTGGCCCGTAATGAGACAATGTGGAGAAGTAGGAACTGGGACCAACTGGGAGGGGAGCCTGCCTCACCTACAGGCCTTCCTAGCCATCTATTAATAGATTCTGGAATAGCAAAGCCAACCCCACACTTGGCTCCTGAGCCATCAGTGGTCAACCCCTCGCTTATGCAGGAGGGCAAGCTCACTCTGCTCGTGCCATCACAGTCTTCAAAACCCCACCCCAAGTCTGGAGGGACGGCTGGAGACAGCTGTTCTAAGGCTCTGATGAGGAGCCACCTGGGAATGCATTTAGCAGAGTGGAAAGACACTGCCGCCCCTCACAGACAGCAGAGGGTCTGGCAGGAGCGGGCGGCAGCTAAGAACATGGTGCTAGGAGTTAGGCAGGCCTGAATTCGAATCCTGGCTCTGTGGCTTGCCTTGGGAAACGCACTTCACTTCTATGAGTTCTGTAAAACTGTAGAATTAAGATAGTAATGGCACTGTACTCCCCGCTCCGCCCACTGTGGGAGGATTTAATGAAATAATAATGCGGGTCAATAGTGTGGCACAGGCCTGGTATAAGAATGATAAATGGGGACTGCTGTTATTAATGATGATTATCCATGAAGCTAAGGTTCGCTTTTAGTATCTGCAAAATAAGTGAGTGCTGGTGGCCTTTGGGGCTCCCAGTCTCCCCAGTGACACCCTGCTTTCCCATTTTAGAATCACCTCTTAACCAGTCTAACAGCTCTCAAGCGACATATGTAATTCTTCCTTATGACAATATTCTCACGTCCATTTACATTTCAAGAAAAGAGCACAGAGAGAAAGCAGCCTCCATGGTCTGGAATAGACTGAGGAATTTCAGGGAATGGTGAGAGAGGACATTTTGGGATTTTGTCTTCATATCCCACAGCCTTTATTTACAAGCTGGGTCACTCCCTCCCTCGAGAGACCACCTCTGGGCTTGACTCCCACCTTGGAGGCATCACACACTCCCAATTGTTCCAGGAACCCCTTTGGCTGTCCCTCTTCCCCACAAGTTGTCGGGTACCTGAGGTTCTACTCCGGATTTACCCTCTTCCCTGATCACTCAATACACTTCCCAGGGAAGCTCACCTTTTCCTATGATGACAATGACCATCTGATGAGTCTCACTTCACTTTCTCCATCCTGCCTCTCTCCCTAGGTCCATAGCAATGGTTCCAACTCCCTATTGGATGCCTCCACTTGGATGATGCCCAGAAATCTCACGTGTAATAACAGACCATCTGAACGCATTTCCCTTCCTCCTCTTACCCTAAACCTCCTGAGTTTCCTACCTAAATGCCCCCTCCTTCCTTTGTCATCCAAGCAATTCACTTGGAGGTCACCTCCTCACCCCCACATCCAACTAATCCCTAATCACTGACCAATCCACTTCTATACCCAATTCTCCCTAGTCCTTCCGTCATCATCTTTGTTTACACTACCACCATCTCTCATTGAAAATTACTCCATCAGCTTTTTGAATAACTGATCTCACTACATCTACTCTCATCTTCCCCAAGCCCCTGTCTTCTCAGAGCTCCACAAGGCGCCAGTGGGAGCTTTTTAAGACGCAAAATCAGATTACCCACGGTCCCAGTTGAAACACTTAGTGACTACCTGTTGCCCTCAGGATAAAGTTCAAAACCATTAATAGGTTCACTAGGGGCTGCTTACCTCTTCAGGCTCATCTTGGCTCCCGGATCTCCCCACATCCCTGCTTTAGCTAGACCTTTTTCTCCTTTCTACTTCTTAGAGCTATCATGTCCTTCTTGCCCCTGGCTTTTGCGCACTGTCCTTCTGCCACCTACATTCTGAGCGGAGTGCGGCTAGCCTTACCTCAGAAGACTCATCCTCAGGCATTTCCTCAGTTGTCTCTAAGTGATACAGCATTTCACATTTGTTGGACTCTTTTTCTAGGTTTTGTTTGGCCTGATTGAAGAAGGTCTCATACTTTTCATTTCCTGTGGGGGTTGGAAGGAAAAGAAAATCACGATGGTTAGAAATATATGAATTATGCCCCAAACACAGACTTGTAGCTAAGGGTAAAGAAAATGAGAAGGGAAGCGAATTTTTTGGTATCTCCCCTGCCATGTTTTCTCTGCTTTAGAGGGTAATTTGTGAGTGAGTGGAATTTGTATCAGAGACTTCACTGAGCTTAACGAGACTATGCTTTAAGGAGATACTAGGTGGTTCTCAAAAACTTGATGGCAGCAACATCCTAAATCACTCGTAGGGTGACCCACTGGATCCCAGGCTACTTGGTCCTTTCCCAGTTCTAGCACTGACAGCTACACAACCTGGAAAACCCCTCGTGATGGACAAACCCAGACAGTTGGTCATGTTTATTAAATCTCAATTAACAAAAAGAATATATTTGGGTCAAGTTGCTTTAATTACAACTAAACAAGCTACAATCCCCTGAGTCAGAGAGGGTGGGCAATTGGTAGAGAGATTTGAGACACCCAAGTTCACCAGTAAGCAGTAAAAACTCAAATGCTTGAGGGGCAAGGCAGGCAAAAAATTACAGCACCTGTTAGGACACAGTAGGAAGTGGAGCACAGAAGACCCAACTAATGGTATTCAGATTTAAATTATTTTAAAGCCCTGTACTGGCCGAACCAGGTCTACTGCCTTAAGAGGCCAACTGGGTGCCCAGTTTTCAACCGTGTGGTAACGGCTTTCCTTCCTGACAATTATATGTGGAGTCCGACTAACTTCTGTCTAACTGGAACTCTGGGTGCTAGAGTGTGACATGGTCTTAGATTTACTAATATTTGTGCTCATGTGTTCAGGGAACAGACAATTAGGATTTAATAGGTGATTAACCGTTGAGTTAGTGACTTTGGGGGATGGGGTAGGAGGAAAGGCTGAGGTGTGAGGGCTTAGTCGGAAGCTGTTTAGGGGATGTGGGCTTCAAGGAGCCTGAAGAGGGAATCACAAAGAAGAGCGAGGAGTTCCTCTTGACTTTTCGTCCAGGAAGAAAGACCCAGAGAGATTCTATGTCTAAGAGAGCTGCTGAGCTGAGTTTTGGGATCTTCCAAGGCATAGATATACTCTGGTACAGCAGGATGGCTCTGGAGGCCATATGTTATCAGGAAAGCCTTGGCTAGACATGTGGGCAGACAATTAATAATGGTCTAAATGAGTCTCCAAACTCTGGAATGCCAAAATAAGGGGCAGAGCCTTGGTTGCCTTTCAGTATAGTTTATATTTTGAGAATTGTGCTCCTTGCAGTAAAATCAGCCTTCGTGTTCTCAATGGCCATCTGTGAGTGTGCTGCGGAGAAGGACAACTCAGGGAGAGATTATAGCTGGCAGGAATGTGTGCTGGGAGAAAAGGCCTTGGGAAGTGCAATTTCTTGGTGCCTCTGAGTAATTCAGTAATGGCAAAACTGGCCAGGGGTCTTGATTTGGGACTGTCGTGGCCACATCTTGTCTCACTAAACTCAGGTCGCCCAGTCAATTTCAACTCTTGACTTTTTTTTTTGCTATTGATGAATAACACAGAAGGGAACTACTGAGGACTACCAAGCAAATAATGCGAGTAGCCATCAACCTTCAAACAGGCAAAGCTGAAATTTCCCAGTGGGGAAATATGATACCTTTGAGGTTCCTGGGAAGATCGAGGCAGATGCGGGGAAAGATGCCTTCTCCACTAAGTGTGATATTTTCTGGGTCTAGGTGGGCGATCTGTATCTGGAAGCTCCTTTGAAAGACCCCAGGTACTCCAGGTAAGTAGTAAACCTTCAACACCTGCTTTTTAAGCGAACTGATAAAACCCTACACAGCAGGAAGAACAGAGAGAACTTTAAAATTTACAGTGGACGCCTGCTTCTGGCAGTTTGATGGACTAGATAATCCCAAGGGTCTATTGTGCTAGTTATTCACCATTCACATTCCTCCCGCAAGATTTATTTTCACCATGAGAAAATTCAACAAAAGTTCCTTAAAACTGATAGATTAACATAGGTACAAGAAACTACCTCCTCCATTTTCTTCTAAAGCTACTCTGGCACATTGCAATCCACTGGTGTTTTCACACCTGCTAATGAAAAATTGCTTTTATTTATTGCAGTCAGTGGAGAGGAGGTCCTCAGCTTCAAGAAATTACACGGGGAAATGTGAGGACACAAGCGGAAATAAACTAGTCATATAATCATGGGACAAAAATCCATGGGGTTATATTGTCTTGTGCACTATTGAATCCCTAGTGCCTGAACAGTGCCTAGCTAGTGAAGGACTCAAATGCTTGTTTAATGAATGAGTGAAGTGCTTATTTAGATTTATTTATTTTGCTTCTGAGAATGCTTGCATCTTAATTTTTTTAAAAAATTACACCCATAATCCTGGCAGTGAATGTTTAGTGTAATCTGATGTACCTCTGGAGTGCAGCTCGTTGGTTTGAGTTTGGGCTCCTCTGACCATTATCCATGGCATCACGGGTGGGAAGGCTACTTACCGAGAGAGGCAGGATTAGTGGCACTCCCGGCATAAGGTTGTCTGGTGAAGGCTGGTGGTCAGTCAGAGCCTTGAATTCAAAGCCGACTTTCCCAGTGTTCTTCAGTGTGATTTCATTCTCTGTGACTTGGTGAAACAGCTTGATAGGAGAAGGGGGAGAGGAGTGACTCCTCTGTCATCCCGCCTTTGGGGTGCTGCTACCATCCTGACAAAGGCAGCTGGACAAACACGCCTCACAGACACGTATTTTATTTTTCATGCTGTAGATGCTGCCAACCCTAATCTTAGTATCACAGAAAGGTGCCTAGTGGGGCAGGAGGAGCACTAGGCCCTGGACGTCTGACTCCATCTTAGTTCTTTTAACAATTAATATACTTTAGTTGTGGGGTGAACATCTAACCTCCCTGGACTTCAGTTTCTTCACCACAAAAATTCTTAAAGTAGATTTGCTTTTTAAAAAAAATAAGATTTGAGTTCAGAATTTTCTAGAATGAATTTTTCTATTTATATGTAGAGACATGGGAATAATAGGCCAGATGTGTTCTTTTTCCTGAGATTTTGCTAATATAATTAAGCAGCTCATCAGGTCTAATAACCTGAGGCCACTTCAGGGCTTCTTAGGACAAGGTAGGACAAGGACCAACTGCTTCAAAGCATACACTCTGAGCTGAGCCAGACCCAATTGCCCAGAGGACCCTGGAGATGAGGAATGAGAGAGAATTCTATTTGGTTAACGCAATAAACAAGGCCTCAATAACTGTTAGGTAAATTTGATCTTAGGCACAGCCTTAACCTATTAACACACATGCACACACACACACACACACACACGCAATTCAGTAATTATACCTGCAGTAGCTATATAATGGGGATCTAATCCCCATCAAAATTTGGTACGAGATATGTTATGGTCTCTGAGCACATAACACAAAACCTAATTGGGAACAGAGGATACAGACACACAGAATGAACTGACAATTATTGCAAAGCAAAAATTAGAAGGTATACTATATTATGGCAAAGACTGAACTTAAATCCCAAGAGAATGTAAAGATAAGTGAGGAATGGAGCTGAGCTGGGTCTTATAGTGCATATAGGTTTGGAGTGGGCAGGATCGAGGATGAGTGGGGTAACACAAGAGGAAGGGCTGGGGTGCATTAGGGCCAGTGGGCAAGCCATCTTGGTCACAAATGAATGAACGGGTTGTAATGGGGAATTATGAGAAACGAAGTTTAATGTAAGAAGCATCAGTTAATAGAGGGGCTTAGGGTATTCTCATCCACATGGAGGAATGTGGCTCTGATCCACTGGGTGACAGAGAAAGGGACTCATGATTGAAGGCCTTCTCTGACCCAGGCACAGTATTGACTAGACACTTAAGTAACCACAACCACCTGGTGAGATAGCTACTTATTGCCATTCGCTATTGCCATTACCTATTGTTACCCTATTCCCATTTGATAGATGAGGGATACTGAGGCTTGGAGAAGTTAAGTGATGTGCCCAAGGTTACACAGTTAGTAGGAAGTAAAACCAGGATAACATCCCAGTTCTTCTGACTACAAAACCATGCTCTTTTCTCAGTACTATGCTGCCTTCCCAAATGCTGCTGGGGTTAATTGTCAGGGATTGACGGGATGAAAATGCGATGTGGGGAAAATCTATCTGGCAAGGATGTTTAGATGGGTTAGCAGTGGGAGCTAAGAGTGGGTTGTAATCCCTTGCTTCCATAGGGTCCGTGGATCAGTAGCGTTGGCATCAGCTGGGAGTTTGTCAGAAATGCAGGTTCTCAGGCTCTACCCTGGATCTACTAAATCAAAACCTGCACTTGAACAAGATTCCCGGGTGATTCATATGCACATTACAGTTTGAAAAGAACTGCTGTAATAATTTGGGCATGGCTTGATGAAACCCTGTGGTGTTATAACCACAGTGGCGATGGGAAGGGAAAAACCTACTCAGAGGGGTCCTGCTGGATGAATCAGCAAACCACGGATGCTGTAGGGATGCGGGCAGTGCAGGAGAGAGTGGGGTGGTAGATACCTCGGAGGCCGTAAGCTCAAGAGACTGAGAAGGTAGTAGAGTTAGTGAAAGAATCGGACGGGTTGGAATGAGCTTCTGGACTGAGAAGGGAGATGCAAATTTTAGCGTCTAACATGCTGCATTTCAGGAGACAGTGAGAAAAGCAAGTGGAAATGTCTGGCAAATGGTTGGCAGAGGAAGGATAATCAGGGTTAGGGAGGAAGATGAGGGATCAAGGACGGGGTGATGGTGAGAATATGATGATGGGGGTTCTGAGAGCACAAGGGTGACGACTGATGTTTAGGCAAAAGCAGAACATGTCCTCCTGGTGGTTGGCAATACCTGTAATCCATAGTTAATGTCCTTGTTGTCAAAGGAATAGCTGATCAGGGATGCCTCTCCCCTCAGTGTTATCTCATAGGTGGGCCCTCCTTCCACTTCGCACAGAGCTTTAGCCTGGGCCACGATGTCACAGTGTCCATAGAAGGTGAAAGATATCTGGAGGCTACCGTTTGGCTGCAGCACTCCACAGAGGGGCAAAATATCAAACACCTGCAGAGAGAGTCATTCTATATGAGAGCATCTATGGGGATGACAAGCCTGCAAAAGGTAAGCTAAGGTTCAGTCAATTTACAGATGAATTCCGACTTTAACTGGTTTGACTCCATGAAAGGTGATTAGCCCAGCACCCTGAAAATATAAGATGGTCATGGTGGTAATAGTGCTCTGGCAATATTTAAATTTCTAACTTGGGGCAGGTGCTCAGTAAGATGAGCTGGTGTCAGATGACCTTAGGGCCCACGAGGTGTTACTTACTTCTTCTATCCCAATGGAAAGCATCTCATCCTGTTCAGATAACCACAGGGATTCCTGAATCTCCACCTGGTTCTGGTTTGGATCTATCCTTTCTGTTTCAGCAGAGTTCACTTTTACTCCCTAGAAATTAAAGGTGCAAGGAAAAGCTAGCAAGCATTAATAATGGGTCATCAATATGCTCCTTCCCATCGCTAACAGAAAAGTGAAGTAGGTTGTATATGTTTTTAAAATGCAGGCATTCCTCGTTTTTTTGTGCTTTGCTTCATTGTGCTTTGCGGATATTGCTTGTGTTTTTTTACAAATTGAAGGTAAGACCCTCCAGCAGCAAAAAGATTACAACTCACTGAAGGCTCAGATGATGGTTAACACTTTTTAGCAATAAAGTATTTTTTAATTAAGGCATGCACATTGATGTTTTTAGACATAATGCTACTGCACACTTAGTAGAGTACAGAATAGCATGAAAATAACTTTTATATACACTGGGAAACCAAAAAATTCCTTAATTGCGATATTTGCCTTATTGTGGTGGTTGGGAACCAAACCACAGTATCTCTGACGTATGCCTGTAGTACATTTTTTTCTACAGAGATAATTAGACAAGTGTCAAAAATGTAAGTACAAGGATGTTTACTGCAGCATCATTTATAAAAGCAAAACTCTGGAAGCAAACTAAATGCCTATTAATAGGGTATCACTTTAAATGAAGTGTGTGTGGTACTCTATCCATGAAGGATGATGCAACATATAGTTATGGATTAGAAATGATGTGTGCAACATTTTACTGAGTGATAAAGCAGTTACATTTATGTAAAATTACATATGCCTATGTATGACACCTGAAGGTGTGAGCAGGTATAAAGTCATTCAGAGATTTGCATATGCAAACAGATATATCTGCTAAAGTTTAGTATTTTTCTATGAATGGTAGGAGTTTGAGGATTTTGCTTTCATTTTTCTGTATTCTTGAGTTTTCTATGACAAACATTTATGAAAATAGAAAAAGAAAAGAACATTTAAAAGACAAGTGTTTTATACACACGTGTATTCATTCTAAAAAATTTGTAAAGTAAGAAAGCTTCAAAGAAATACAAATCAACTATGAGATTATATTGTAGATATATGTATATATGTGTGTATATACTGGGGGTGCCAAAAAAGTGTACAAGTGGACACTTTGGTCAAAGTTGCTCAAGCAGTAGTTCGTTGTAATCAGAAGTGTCTGGACACTGATGGTAACCACTTTGAGCACCTCTTATAAATGCAGAAGTCCAATGTGACTTGTATTCATCTTTTGTTATCGGTATATATTGAGTACTACAATTTTAATACAGTTTTCCTTTCTTAAAATGTGTATACATTTTTTTGGCACCCTATGTATATTTATCGTCTGATTTTTCAGTTGACATTGTAACATGAGTGTGACTTTCCCATGTGACTAAATATTCATCACGCGCATCATTTAAAATGCTTTAAAAAAATAGAATATGTAGTTACTTTTACTTAATATATCAGAGATTGCTCCAAATCAGTATATAAAGAACTTTCTCATTTTCTGCAAAAGAATTTCATAGTATTGCCTTGTGCAGAAGTAATTTAGTTTATTCAACCAGTCTTCTATTGGTGGAGTTGTTTCCAATTTTTCTTGCTTTTACCAACAAAGTTGCAGTATACAAGAATAGTTATATGTCTCCATGTAAATGTAAACATGTACCTGGTGAATAATATTCTAGCAGAGGAATTATGCATTTTAAATTTTGATACACTTGCCAAATTGTATGTCACAGAGGCTATGCCAATTCATACTCCTACCTACAAAGTGTTACAATGCTTGCTTACCCCCACTATACCACTCCTGAGACAAACACTCTTTTAAAAGATTGTATATCATCATGAATATATAATAATTTATTTTTCAAGTCTTTTGCTGTTTCTAAAGAGTTGTAACAAACATATTTGTACATAAAACTTTGCATCTCCCATGATTTGCTTAGGTCATCATTCTAGAATTGAAGGATATGAATGTGTAAACCCTCTTGATTTCTTCTTTGTTTTTACAAATTATTGCGGAAAATATTTCTCCTTTCATAGCCTCCATTCAGGGGCTGGGAAGAGATCACCAAGGTTTAGCAGTGACTGGCTTTTCCATTACAGAGAAAATCTGTTTGCTGAGGTGTCTGGGCTCTCACTGAGGTATGGCTCTGAGGGAGTTTGATTGGGAAGTGACCCGGATAAAGGTTTGCAGCCTCATCGCAGCCAAACCCTAGCATTGCACCTGCCATTCTGCTCCTGGCTCTGCCTCTGTTTTACGGAAAGGAATTTCCACTTGCCAACCTGCCCCAGGGAAGGGAAACGTACATCTGAGATGACCAGCATTGGCGCTTGTGCTTTCTTGTGCTCTTTTTCTTCGGAACCCAAATTTTCATCCACAAGGGTAGTCCTGGGAGTTTAAGAAAATGTAGAAAATCACTCATTTGGCAGCCATTACAACAGTCTTCAACCTAAGGGCCCTGTCTTCCTCCCCCCGCTCCCACTGCGCCCCAGAGAACAAGTGGGGCTCTCATTCAAAGTACGCCTTTTCCAAGAAGTCAGCTGCCCCCACACAGTCTAGTGCATCAAACTGGACAATTTTCTGTAGGCCCCAACCCTTCTTTCCGGGTCTACCAAGCCCATGTCCAACTTATAAAAAGTTCTGGGAAGCTCTAGCAACTCCTCAGACAATCTGGATGTGTTCCCAATGCTCAGTGTTAAGTTTTATCATTTATTGGGGCATTTTATTATGAGAGTATCATGTTTGACCAATTGTCATATTCTTTTCTGCTTGCTACCCATGACTTGACTGGCCCTGGCTGCAGACTTTGGGCAAATGGAGAGGACAACATGAGAGGAAGGGCTCAGTCCCCCAGGACTCAGGAGGCTATGACCTCCTGAGAGCAGAAATGACTTTCAGCTCCGTATCCGAGATGCCTAGTCCAGGGCCTAACACACAGAAGGTACTCATTAAGCTGTTGGCTGGTGGTGAGTGGTTGGATGAATACATGAGGGATGAGTCTGAGAATGTATGTCAGTACAGAGAGAAGAATGCTATTAAAAAAAATCCATTCTGGCTTTGCATTTTCACTTACTTAATGAAGTCACTCAGATCAATCTCAGGGGGCTCGACTGCTGGGACTGCTGGCAAGCTGGCAGACACTGGGGTTGCTGCGATGGACTCCGTCTGAGACAGGAGGGCACTGTAGGGCTTCCTTGGCCATGTCGCAAATCTACAGAGGCAAGGGGCAGACACAGTCACATCAGCTGTGCGAAGTCAGTGCCTGGGTGGGCTCTTGGTTTCTAAGGCCAAGTTCTAAATCCCAGACCAGGCAGGCTGAGAAGGGAGTGCCCTACACCCTCCCTTGTTCAAAGCTTAGCTGAGGTTTCACTTTCTCCTACAAGTTTGCTGATCACCCCTTCCCAGTATGGGTCCAGTGTCTCTCCTCTGAGTGCCCACAGCCCCTGGGCTCCCCCTTTCATACTTACTTCTCCCACCCCTGCTGGACTGTGAACTCGCCTGGGGACACTGTATTGACTATGTCATCTATTGGGCTGTTGGAAAAGTTGCGACGTATTTTTTCTATGTTTTCTGTTGCAAAAATACATCATGACTTTTCCGACAACCGAACAGTACAGTGCCTGGAGTGGAGTAGGCGCTCAGGCCCAGCACTCAGGGATCCTGCTCCCAGCAGCCAGAAAGCAGGGCTGGGACTAGGATGAGGCACTCACTCTCTGGTCCTGCACGTGTGGCTCAGCCTTTGCATGACCCTACCTCCTACAGGTTTGCTCTCGGTGCCTCGGCTGCTTCGCCGTGGTCCTGGCTGTGCCAGTTTGTTCTGCTGTCACTCAGGACCTCTGAGCAGAGGGCAGAGGGGGAGATCACTGACTGCACCAGCTGGTGCTGAAGCCCATGTATACAGGTTTCACTGACTGGAAAGGCCTGTGGATGTCACAAAGGCCAAAGTGGTGGGGTCTCCCCCATTTTTCCTGTTCTCTTCTGGGTGCAAGTGGCTTTTAAGGGACTTCTCCTTTCCCCCATCTCAGGCCCTTGATATTAATTTCAACCCAGTTTCACTTATATATTAATTCTGGCCCCATACGCATTTTACCTTTTCTCAACGGCTCAGCAGAAATGTCACCTATTATATGAAGCACCCAACACTGTCTCATCTTGCCATTGGAAAACTTTTTCCTCCCTCTTAAGTTTCACAGCATTTCATCTGCACGTCTCTTAGGATACTATCCACTCTCTATCCCCTACCTGAGTGCCATTTCCTAAACTTGGGGCATTTCTACACCAACTTCATGATTTCTGCCATATTGAGTGTGACCTAATAAATCCATTTTTATTGAGGTATAATTTATATTCACAATGCACTCACTTTAAGCATACAGTTTGATGAGTTTTTGCAAATATATATACCTGTGCAATCACTACCATAGTAATACACAGAACATTTCTATCATCCTAAAAAGTTTTCTTGTAGCTGGCTCCGTAGCGCAATGGATAGCACATTGGACTTCTAAAAAGTTTCCTTGTGCCCCTACCCAGTCCATGCCACCAACCCAGCACCAAACAAACACTCATCTGCTTTATATCACTGTAAATTAGAAATACCTACAGTTTCACACTAACGGCATTATAAATATGCACTCTTTTGCATCTGATTCCTTTCGCTCAGCAGAATGTTTTTAGATTCATGTATATGATTGCAAAGAGCAGTGGTCTGTTCTTCTTTTCATCACTGAGCAATAGTATGGATGACTAGCACGTTTATCCATCATCTCGTTGATGGACACCTCGGCTGTTGCCAGTTTTTAATACTATGAATGAAGTTGCTATAAACAACTCTGTACGTCTTTGTGTGGACATATGTTTTCATTCTTCTTCGGTAAATTCCTAGGAAGGGAACTGCTAGCTTATATAGTATATGTACATTTAACATTATGGGAAACTGCCAAACAGCGTTCCCCAGCGGTTTTATGCCCTTTTAGACTAATCCCCACAGTGTATGAGGGCTCCAGTTGGTCCACATGGCCACCCGCACTTGGTATCCAGTCCTTTTCATTTTAGCCACTGAAATGAGTAGTGATAGCACACTGCAGTGTTCATTAACAGGCTCATTTTAAAGGAAAACTTTATATTGTTACTATAAATTAAAAACCAGTTGTATCTACTGTATTTAGAAAAATCAGTATGATAGAAAAAAATCTATGTGATTATTTTGTTGCCTGGTGAAGCCTCTGAGCTGCGCTCTGCTTGCTCTTTTTAAGAAGCAAGATCAGTCCAGTGAGCTCTTAGAGGGCAGGCAGGCTCCAAGGCGTTCCCTCTTCACAGCCTCTATAGCCCAGGGTTTTATACATAGAGCATGAGCTCAACAGATGCCTGATTAAATGGGTGGATGGATAAATGGATGGATGGATGGATGGATGAGAACAGGTAAGTAGCATGAGGGATAATTTGGCTATTCTGCACCTCCACCTCCACTCTGTCCCCGCCTGTGATGGCCTTGGAGAAGAGTGGAAAAGCTCTTTCCATCTTCTGTGAGCTTCCATTTGGCTTATTCCAGGCCATATGTCTCTAGTTGACACTATCTTAGGTGGCAACCACACTATTCTGAGCATGCTCATGTTGGGCTGGGCGCTGGGAAGCTCATGAAAATGAAGATTCCTGAACCTCATCCTTGGGTAAATTCTGATTCAGCAGGTCTCAGGTAGGTCCCAGGTGTTAGATTTTGAACAGCTTTCCCAGGTGATTCGGAGGTCCAGCCAGGTGTAGGACCTGCCATGGGTAGGAATGGCAGCGTGATGGCCAAGGACTGGAGCTGATAATTAGTATGGGGCTATCACTCAGCCTGGCCAGCTAGGAACAGTGAAAATCTGCAGAGGATGATTTGGGGCATTTATTAAATCACCCCAGGTCAGCAGAAGCGCCGGGGGAGACTTCCAGATCACTGCCCCACAGAATAGCACTCTCTCATCCCACGTTTGCACTGCCCTGGGAAGTTGTGCTCAATAAAATAAAAAAAAAGCACATGGAAATATCTGTAAAGGAAAAACACAAAGCTGTAGAGTGCCTGCAGACCTGAGGAAAAACAACACCTCGGTTGACAAGGATACCTGGACAACGGGGAAGTGAGAGGTCTCTTTGGAAACAGAGAAAGGAGACCAGTAAAGCAGCCCTACTGCTAACAGATGGAGCCACAGGACACAGCGAAACCTTCATCATAATGAAGCCTTCCGCTTATCATTAAGATCGAAAACCTGCTCCAAAAAACTGAAATAGAATGTTGGTAGAGTTTTTGGATCAGATTTCATTTTACCTTCAGGAACAGATGATCACTTTCCTGTTATGCTGATTCAAATGGGATTAGATTCAGTTATTTTTAAAGGAGAGTGCACAGCAAACAAACAAACAAAAATCAATATGGCTCCAATTCCAGAGCTACCCACGTCAGACTCACTGCAAGAGCCAGGAGCGTAATCCTCCCTTTAGCTGTGACAGAACCATGTGAATGTCACACTGTCAATCAGCCACACTGGTTTGGGCTCAGCAGTTTTCTTCATATTTTATTTTCTGTTCTTGGGTAAGTCAGGATCAATACAACCTTTTGTGCTATGCATTTAAAAAAGTCCACCACTCTTATTGCCTGTTCTCCCTTCACTGGAAGCAATGTTGCATCAAAATAAAACCCCAAAGAACATGTTTGTGTTTCAGTTACTATCTCGTGTTGTCATTCAGATGATATTTGGAGATGGAATGGGGTATGTTGGACATCTGCTGAAGTCTGTGCAGTGCCGCCGAGGTCTCAAAGAAGTGGGGGCAGCCTTGTATAGACATGATGACTTCTAATTCATTGATTCATTGGACCTGGATTCTGGGTGTGTCTCCTGCACAGGGTGGAAACAGCCATGGGCTGAATAAAAAGGTCCTACAGGTGTGTTTTGTTTGGCTCACATGATGTGTAATATATATATATTGCAGTTACCACTGTAGCAGATACTGTTGGTACACTGTCTAGATCCCCTTTGCTGGCATGGTACACCCATTCCCTGGGTGCTGTGGGTGTTGGCTACGCCTTTCTCTGGAGCACTGCCCTGGCTTGGTGGAGCTGCCTGGGAGGTTATGTCCTCAGACCTATTAGGCTGTGAGCTGTAGGCAAGGAATGTTTATGAGGGTGAGGGCCACAAGAGCCCAGCCTCCTTGTGTCTGAGTGGGACAAATTCTGATGCAATTCACACGCCAGGGCTCCCCATGGGCTCAGGCAGGAGCGAGACTGCTTCTGAAGTCACACTTCCCCTAGTTTTCCCCTCCACCCTAGAAGCCTCCTAGGTCCTCCATCAACCTCACATTGTTTCTCTTATTCTCTTACAGCTCCTCCTGAGAGCCCTCTTTCAATAAATCACCTGCTCAAGAATCACCATCTCAGGCTATTTCTAGGAAATCCATTGTAGCATCATCGTATGATTCCAAATAAAAAAAGCCGATTCTTGCTTCAAGGGACTCAGAGGCCAGGGGATCAAGAGTCAGAGACATAGGAATGGGTACAATTCAGGGTACAAGTGCTCCAGCAGGAAGATGTGCAGAGGGCACAGTGGTTCAGAACGACGCTGTGGGGCCAGGTGGCCTGGGTTTGAATTCGGACATCCCCACTTACATACCACATGACCCGGTGGTAGTGATAGAACCCTCCTCATCTGATTGTTGTGTTAGCTCATGTAATGAACGCAGCAGGGTTCCCGAGTCATAGCAAATGTCCAATGCACATGGGCTATTCTTGTGCTGGGGTGGGTGGATTAGCACCATTTTTGGAATTCAGATGAGAGAAGAGCCTATTGGAATTTAGATGAGGGAAGAGTCTACTGGACTTCAGAAGAGGGAGAGACCAGCTTTCCCTGGATGTGTGGGGAAGTCTTCCTGAAGGAGAAGATCATCTAACTGCATCTGGAAGGAAGAGTGGTACTTTTTAGGTGAAGAGTAGAAAGTATGTATAGTCTGAGGAAAAAGTATATGTAAAGGAGAAAGGATTGAGAGAAACTGGCTTCTTCTGGGACAAGTGAGAAGTTTGTTGTAGAAGAAGTGTATGTGTACATGCCAAATGGAAGCAAATGATGAGAAGGAGGAGGATGGTGATGATGATGATGATAATGAAGACTACAGAAGCAAAGAGTTGATAGTCAGTGATGGCCAGCAACGGAGGCAGCCATGACAGGAAGTGGGGCAGCAGCT